GGCTGCCCCCTCAGCTCCATCCTTTACAGCCCAACCCCAGTCCCACATCCTCCATGAAGCTGCCCTGACTGCCTCAACCCACAACAGATGGGCTTCCACTCCCTGAAACCCTCGTGTAGCCCAGTCATAGCTGAGCACTCCACTACATGCTCTCATTAAGTCCTGCTGTGATTTTGAAGGAGAATTAATAAAAGGCTGCACTTAGGCTAACAGATTGGTTGTTCTTATGCTTGCCCTTAAAACAGTCAACTGACCTGACTAACCAGTTGCCACTCACAGTTTCAGGCCCATTGTTAAAACTAAAGCTATTGATCTTACTGTTTCTACTTTATTCCAGTAATTGAAAGCTATAATCATGCTTGGTCTCTGAGTCATCTCCAGGGAGAAGGTCACAGGATTTTAACCTTACAAAATAGCCTGAATTACCAAGGAGACCACACCTTGGATGCTTATAAGATAAAGAGATGGAAAGAGTGACAACCACTGGCCTCTATAGAACTGGTTGCCTGGAGGCATCATGACCCCATTCTAAGTCTTCTGATGAGAAAATGATTCTGTTGCTTTGAGCTATGGCTATATAACCACCACCCCCGCCCCATCCCCAAGGCGGGCTCACAATTTTGAAGGCTGTGAGTCCCTTTTGCCCAGCAAAGCAATAAAATTGCCTCTTTTCTTCTAAACTCCAAGACCTTGTCTCTGGGTTATTTGGCTGGTCAGGGACAGGGGTGATCTTTTGGCAACAATTGCTTCAGGCATATCCTTTTTTTTTCCCTCTAAAAGAAAAGAATTTTGAGGGCAGGGACTAAGACTAATAATTTCTAGATTCCCCTCAGAGTTGACCGTGGTCACTTGACTGAATATTGTCTAATGGCACGCCATTTCAGGTGGAGAACGCTTTTGCTCCTGTTCAAAGACAATCTAAAAGAAAAACAGGAGTAGTGGGGGGAGAGTATAGCTCAAGTGGTAGAGTACATGCTTAGCATGCACAAGGTCCTGGGTTCAATCCCCAGCAACTCCTCTAAAAATAAATAAGTAAATAAACTAAATTACCTCCCCTCCCAGAAAAAGACACCAAAAAGAAAAACAGGAGTAGTATCTCCATTAACAACGGTTTTTGGCAAGCCTGCCAACTCTGAGACTGTAACAATATTACCCTACTGGCCTGAATCACAGAGCATCGGTCATGGGGTAACCGCAGGTGGCACCAAAATATGAAGACAACCACTAATAACACAACTACATCTCACTTTCTGAAGTCATAGAAGATTCTCCGAGCATCAAATCTATCAGCCTGTCAAGAAACAAAAAAGCTTGTCAAGGTCAAAACCTTCAAAAGATACCTGGATTCTCACCACTCCTCATTACCTCCAGTACCACAGCCCGGAGCTGAGCTGTCATTAGTCACCTGCAGTACTGCAATAGCCTCCTAACTGCGTCCCTGCGCCCACACTGGCCTCCCCACAGTCTGCTCTCGCTGGTGACCTAAATGAGCTCAGCAGATTGGGTCAAAACCCTCCAATCATGGATCAGTAGTAGGAAACAGATGATACATTCAAAGTGGGTGATTTGAGGAAAGTTCATAGCACAGGGGCTAGCAACAAAGGGGTACTTCATCCCCTCCAAGACCTGAAGGTATGAAGAGGAATAGAGAGCGACACGCAGAGCTCCATGGAGAAGGCACCTGAAGGAGAGGTGGTGACTCTGAGCCTAGAGACAGTCCAGCCCACACAATCCTGCAGGAAGGGAATACAGACGCCAATCTCATTCTTCTCCCTCACTCTCACCCACCCCCTTATCAGTACTCCACGTGGCCAAATGCAACCAGAAAGCCAGGGAGCCTGTCAGTGCAGGTCCACCTCCTAGGCCACATCCACAGAGCAGGGTAGGCAAGGGTAGAGTGAGTCCAAGGAAGTAAATGGAAGCTAACCAGCCAAATGGCTTCCCTTCTCAGTCAGGGCATCTGAAAGTACCTGATTCAACCTTATGTCCTCTTCTGTCTGCTAACCTCTCAACTCACAGTGGCACTTCACTCACCAGGCACAGCCCTGCCTCAGGCTCTTTGTAGTTGCTGCTTTCTCTGCACAGAACACTTTTCCCCCAGACACGCACATGGCTTGTTCCCTCACCTACTTCAGGTCTCAGCCAACACACCAGCAGAGGCTTCCATTGCCACCATATATGAAAACCTCCCCTCCTCCCACCCTACCCATCCCTAGCACACTCAATCTCCGTTATCTTGCTTTATTTTCCTCCACAGCACTTCTCTCTAACAGAGAGAGAGAGAGAGAGAGAGAGAGAGAGAGAGAGAAAGAGAGAGAGAGAGAGAGAGATTTTTCCCTTTTTTAACTGACTGCCTCCCTAGCCTAGAACAAAAGTTTCATAAAGGCATCGACTTGGCCTTTTTGTTCACTCCCTTATGCCCAGCAGCTAGAACAGTGTCTGATACATAGTAGGCACTCAAACATCTGTTGGATAAATGAAAATGAATGAGTGGAACAGAAGAACCCATAGCTAAGGATTCTTTCCACTGTTTAGAGGTTTAACTCCTATTGTCAAATCATTGTTAAACAAATTAATAAACAGTCTCCTGATAATAAGATAGGAAGCAAGTGACAAGCATTTGTTTTTATTAGCAATGGCACAAAATTGAGCTCTGTCACCAAATCCCTATGAATAAATGGAATCTTCAAGCATAATCAAAGGAATAACAGTAGTGTCTTCTGTAAACAACTGCTCCTAGCAAGGTTGTTTTTTCTTATGAATATATCAACATTAACCTATGAAACTAGAACTTATCTAAGCCTCAGTCTTCTCATTTGCAAAATACGTAAGGATTTAATAATACAGTGTATGGAGAGCATTTATTGGGTGCAGGGCCAATAAATGGACACTGTAATGATTATTAAAACATTGAGGAAGGTGGGTATAGCTTAGTGGTAGAGTACATGCTTAGCAATCCCCAATTCAATCCCCAGTACCTCCCTTAACACAATAATAATAAAGCATAAAACACTGAGGCAGCCATGAGAATAAGATACTACATTATCTTCCTATGATCTGGAACTGTTTATCCTAGAGTTTTAGAATGTGAGCTGGAATAACAACATGAGAAAGGAACAGAAGATGCTCTACTATCTACCAGACAGTTGGGCCTAGATCTGAAAGACACCTACGGTACCAATGTTCCATATCAGAACCTAATTCCCACACCTGGCCCAGACCTTGGCCAACCGTCTTGCAGACCAGTACCTTGTTGCACCCATTTCTGCATCACTCATTCTGCCTAGGCACTCAGAGTACCAGCGCTGCTGTTTCCCTGGTAGGAAATAAGCAGGGGCACGCTACTGAAAAAAAGTCGTGTAGGAAAAAGAGAAAGAGCAGATCAGTAAAGCTCCTGATAATATTCCTGTTTTTAACTTGTCCCTTTCACCACGGAAGTTTCTGTTCTGGTCTTTAAACTAGACCAACTTCTGCTTCTGTTTTCTCCACAACATCCTTTTATTGTCAATAGCTGGGTCAATTCAGTTAACTATGTAAAAGGTGACCCCATAGTCCTAGGTCAGATAAAAAGAAAAAGGCTCGACCTGAATCAACTCAACAATCCATCAGTTTTTCATTGATGGGAGATTTCTTTGCACTCTTTTGCAAAAGACTTTTGTAGAAGGACACACTGGTGGGCTAACTAACCCGGGAAGCTACATTCAAAAGGTAAGTTTCCTTTCTATCCTAAAACCCATGAAGCTTGATCTCCAGTTAAAATACTCCCCTCTACTACTATGTCTATAACTGTGTATTCAAACACTTGTTCTTGTTATTATAGTCATAAATATACAATATAATAATTATCATCACTAACTTTGCCAAAATGGAGGCTTCTAACCTCAGGTATGAAAATCAAAGCAGGTCTCTCCAAGGTTAAGCCTGGAGACTGATACCAGTAAGAGATCTTATTTTAGTAAACAGCCTGAGGCTTACTTGTTAGTGCCAAAAAGAATCATCTGATCACTTTTCCTAGTGACAGACGGATAACCCATTTCCACAAAAACTAACTTGGGAACAATTCCAATTAGGGGATGAAAAGAAAAACAAAACTATAGTTCACTCCTCATTACCCAAACACGTTTCAAAGTGATAGGTTCCATCTACTTCGAGGCCTCCGTGAATGGCAAGGAGCCCCAAATTCTTACTTTTTCATAGCACTTCCCAAACTGTTGTTTTCCTGTCTGTCTTCACCGACCAGGCTGTGCCATGCTCATGCACAGGGTCTGTTTTCTTTCTTTGATTTCCAGCGTTCAATATCGTGCTGAACACATTGCTGGTGCTCACCTGATTGAATTACTAAAATGCCCACCGACGAGGCAGGCCTCAAACCTCGCACTGTGGGTCAGAAATTAAACAGATCATGGAATGGCATGGTCGCAGTTTGGCTGCGTCTCTTGCCCTCTGGGTCCCGAAACTATGAGCGGGGTAGGGAACGCGCGCTACCCATCCGAGAACCTCCCGATGTCCGGCAGAGTGGAGCGGGCTGTCCGACCCGCTCGGGCTACTTCAGTCCTCCAGGTATAGCATGAGAGTTTCTCCGCTCCCTAAGGCAGAGGGGACCCAGGTACTGTCCTGTCCCTCCAACCCCGACAACGACCCCTCCCCAACCTGGCCCCACAAACTCTCCCCTCCCCACACCAAGTCTGGGCGCCGGGAGCTTTGCAAGGGAAGGCGCCGCGGTGCACTGTGGGAGCTGTAGTCCCCCGGTGAGTCCCGCACCCGGGCGGCCCTGAGGGCCGGACTCCCGCTCCCAGAAGCTCCCACGCGGGCGCCTCGCCCAGTCAAGCTACCTCACCTGTTCCATGGACGTGACTGTCTCCACCGAGTCGTCCTGCAACCGCTCCCGCGCGTGCTCGGGCCTCAGACTGTACAGCGGCTCTGACCAGACAGGGGAGGAAGATGGAGGGCAATAGTAGGTGAAGGAACTCGAAGAAGCCATGATCAGGAAAGCAGCGTGCGGTGTGTAAGACTCAGCTTCGTCAAACAACAACGCGCATTGAAACTCCAGCGGGCTAAGGCGCTACGGAGAGCGGATAGAGTCAAAAGATTTTGAGCGCGAATCTCTTTCCTGCCACCTACAGATCCTTAGGAGGTGAGTTGCTGGGATGCTGCTGCCCCCCATTGGGCAGAGGAGCTGCTGCAAGAGGCTCAGCTTCCTGGAGCGCAAGAAAGGATTTGAATTTGAATTTCATTTGAATTTCATTTCACACAAACGTACACACACACACCTTTTCAACATTCTGCTCATTCTTAGTTGTTGTGTAGTAGTTCACAATTTCGAGTGCCCAAGAACTCAGGGAGTTGAAGTTTAAAAACATTTCTAACAGCTCTCCTGATTACCTCAGTCATGCTATCACGAATAGAATTATTTTGCACCCTTTGAGTACATGACAGGCGCCCAGGAGAAGCCAGCAGCTTCTCCACAAAGAAACTGCCATCTCAGTACTCAGTGATGGAGGGAAGGGGCATTGTAATTCTCTTCTATCCCTTTGGGGGTTACAATGCAGTAGCAGGAACTAAAATGCAGTAAAAGGAACAAGTATAAGTGAAAAAAACAAGGAAATAGTCAGAAATTTTGTTTATTCAGAAAATTTTTATTTAGCACCTACTATATGTCAGGCACTGCGCTAGGCCCCAGGAATACAGAAGTGAACAAAACAAACAATGTTCCTACCTTTGGGAAACCTACAGTCTAGTGGAATTGACAGAATTAAGTGAGTGAACACAATAAATATATTATGATAAACTGGAGGAAAATAACAGGGTCTATGAGAGAAATGAAATAAGGTACTAATTAGATTAGGTGGTCAGGCCAAAGCTGTAAGTGACATGTAAGCTGAGACCTGAAGGATGACAAGGAACCATCCATGTGAACAACACAGGGAGGAGCCTCACAAGAAGGAACAGCACCTTTGAGAGAATATGCCATAAATATACCTGTGTGTGTTTGCATTAATTCTGACATTTAATCTGAAGGTGTTTGAAATGAAAGAAACTCCAGTTGGGTGGGGTTAATCATCATACACACCTCCATTAAAATGTTCAAGTTGTGATTTTAGGAAAACCCTGCTACCTTTGGACAAGGAATAGGAGAGGACTTCTTTCATTCAGGGTCCACATCAAAAGGATTATACCAAAATTGTAATACCAAGAGGTTAAGCTGTTTGGAGTAGGGGTGGGGATTTGAGGGGTGGGAGAAGATAAGATGATAACAGATTTTCCAGATAGACCTGGACACCAGCTCAGCTTCCTGTTTGGAGCTTTTTACTCTGTTCCCACTTAATCCCAAGTCACACGTCCAGAACCAACGGAACCACCGTGTAGTATTTTGCAACCAGTGTTTTTCCTGTTCTCTGTCTTTGGTGTAAAACAGAAGCAGTCAGAAAGATTCTAAGGATGAAGCTGGGGTGGCCTAAAGGTCTCAGATGGGTAAACACTATCACCATGTCCATTTTAGAGGTACTGTTGCTGATGCTGGAATGTTTCTAAATCTGGGAATAATTGGGACTTTGTGGGTTGTGGCTGCACAACCTGAATATGCGCTCATTCTTCCCTCTGTATTGACATCTTACTGTCTTTCCCTTAGTTCTGTTTTGGGAAAAATGATCTGATAATGTCTGGGTCATATCCAAGGATTCAGCCTTCTATGTAAAGAGTTCCCTTGCTGGCTGGAAATTTAATTTGAGCCCCTGAAAGAGTAGCTAGAGCAGCTTTGTAACAAATCATTACATCTGTTACAGGTGTACCTAAAGCAATTGCAAATGTATTCAAGAAATCGAAATCTATTTCTGAAATGCATCTCCTCCGCAGAGAGATTTGGAAGATGTTAATGGGAGCGTGGCAAGAGTCTCCTGCAGGACAGTGTCTGATAATGTGCTGGGCACTGAACTAAGTGCTGAGGAGACAGTGGTGAACAAGCCAGACACATTCTCACGCCTTACGGGACTCATGACTTACCAGAAGAAACAGGCATTAAATAATCATTACAGAATGGACCCTTTCATTGCATATAGGGGAAATGGCATAAGGGAGAAAGAAGCACAGGACATTGTGAGCTTGGGTAACAGGGGAGACTGAAGGCAATCTGGAATATCATGAGGAAATGAGTTAACTCACCCAGGACAAGAGGACATCCCACGCAGAGAAAACCCAGTGACAATAAAGTCAAATGAAACAAGGAATGAAAAACATGAGGAGTTTGTACTCTACATAGCATCAAGAAGACTTTTCAGCCTTGGATCAGCAGTGGCCTATCAGTCATCCTTCCTCTGAGTTTGATTTTTTTTTAAAAAAAAAGGACTCGTTCAAGAAGCAGAATGTATATAAATACTGGCAGTAAGGCAGAGAATGATGTATTTACAGGAGAAAGTCTCAGTAATGATAATTAATAGCAACTCCAGCCTGGACTGCAGATGGTTTGCGTTTATTTTACCCAAATGTATGATATGTTTCTAAATCAAACTGTGAATTGTCATTGTTTCTTTAAAAAACAACATAAAATGTTGATAGTGCTATTTTGTACTTACATCTAGAGCAAGAAAGAAAAAAATTAATGATCTCAGTGAACCACTAGAGGGCACCTCTGACCCTAGAGTAGGCTTACAGAGTAAGCTTGAAAACGGCTCTCACTGCGTTACTCACACAAGCCCATATGGTGGCATGAGTCGTTTCTTTTAATACCTTGCAAATCTATGTAATAATACATATCTTGGAAAGTGGAAAGAACTCATCTATTATCCTGCGAGGTAATTAATTTCCTCCCCACAATGAGTTCTGTAACAGCACCTGTGGCCTCCTACTCTGCCTTCCTATCTCCTGGATAGAATGGTGACCCAGCTCTTACCTAGGACCAGTCCCTCCCTCTCTCCCTATGCCCAGCAATTTTCCCTTGCCTCTCCTAAGACATCAAATTGTTCCTGTCCTTCATGAAGTCCATCACCCACAAACAGGCTATTCTCCATTCTTGGGGGGAAAAAAGACATTTTAACCCTCTTGATTCCACTCCTCCCCATTCCTCATTTCCTTTCTACCAGTGACTCCAGTTCCTCTCCTTCAGCTGTCTTGTGAACCCATTCCAATCTGGTTTCCCCATCAGCTCTCTCCAATCCCTGTTAAACTTCTAATCACTCAGTCCAGGGGCCAGACTCAGCCATCATCTCGTCTTCCTACCTGACTTCCTAGCAGCATGTGACATGGCTCATTATTCCCTTCCCCCTGAAATACCCTGGCCTTTGCTCCCTCGTGCTGCAACTTTAGAGCCTCAGGGGTCTGTCTACACTCAATTGCCTGTGAGCTCAGGCAGTCTCAATGTCTCAAATCCCACCAGTAGCTATAAAACTACTGGTTTTATGTTTATGTCTCCAACCTGGATCTCTCTCCTGAATTTGAGTTCACATCTAATATTTGCATTTCTACTTAGATATCTAATAGGCATCTCAGTACAGCAATTATGTCCACAACGGAGCTGCTGGCTTCCCTTCCAAACCTGTGCCCTCAGTCTTTTCCCCTCAGTTAGAGTAACTCCATCCTCCCACTTTACTCCAAATACCTTGGAGGCATCCTTGATGCCTCTCTTCCTCTCACTCCCCATAAATCTTGTTGAAAATATATCCAGAAATGAATCCTGCTTACTAGTTCCACTGCTGGGGTCCTGGTCCAAGACACCACCATCTGTTACTTAGATCTTTGCATTCATCTCTTAACTGTGCTCCCTGTCCCCACTCTTGTCCTCCAATAGCCTAACACAAACAGAAGCCAGACTACAAGCAAATGAACCCTTCACTCAAAGCCCTCTTGCCATCCCAGAGTCAACCTCAAGGCCCTTCCCCTGACCTCAAGGCCCCACAGCCTGGCCTCCTCCTGGGACTCTGCTTGCTCACTCTAGCTGCCACACTGGCCTCCAGCTGCCGTGTGCACACCCCAGGCCGGTGCCAGCCTCGGGGCGGTCATGCTTGCTGTCCCCTCCCCGGCAACGCCCCACCCCCAGGCGTAGACAGACAGGGCCTGCTCTCTCACTTCTTACAGTCCTTACTCAAATTTTAATACTCTGTCCTACTCTCCTGCTTTATTTTTCTGCACAACACTCATCACCAGCTGACGGACTTTATATTTCATGTATTTATTTTGTTTACTGTCTTCCTCCCACTAGACTAAGCTCTCAGGGCAGGGACTTCTGTGATGTTCATCACTTATTCTCTGGCACATAATAGGCACAGAGTAAGTTAAACAATTCAAATGATTTCCAGTCCCTGTAATAAACATTTGAGTACTTGTCTGTGTAACGTAGCCTCACCCTCCAGGAACTCACTAGCTAATAAATACAGAAACTGCATAAATATAAATGAATATAAAATAAACAGATAAAATATAAAATAACATATAAACAGGTATAAACATAAAATAATACACACAAAATACAGTGGGAGAACAGGGAAAGCAGTAATTCATTCCAATCAGTTGATGAAGATGACCTTTTAATATATAACATTTGTGTTTAGTAATATTTTCAAAAGAGTAAATATTCTCTGGTAGCGATTATTAAATAATTACATTAGAATGTGGAAATTGTGAAATTCTATTTTTTATTCTTATTTTTTGTAGCACACGCAATATACATAAATATCAAATCATTATGTTGTACACCTGAAACTAATATAATGTTATATGTCAATTATACTTCATATTTCAATTAAGAAAAAAAGAAGGAAGGGAGGGAGGGGATCATTCTGTTCATAGCATCCTGTGAATCCTCTCACTTTCATCAGCTAAGAATTATTATGTTCACCATGCTACATCAGCCCACCTCCCTCTTCCTTGTTCTTTCTAACCTCTGCCTGGTCTCTGTTCCACCCCAGATTTTCCATCTGCATCAGCAATGTCACCCCAGCAGATGCCTGCACTTACTACTCTGTGAAATTTCAGGAGAGCTCTGAGGGGAAAAGAATCTTTCAAATCACTCGAAAAGGAACAGCTTTCTGAATACAATTATGTTATGGCACAGAGAACTACTATGAGCTTCTTAGAAATCAATATGTCATCAATTACACATAACTGCATTATTTTATTGTGTCAAATATTGATATAAAATTAATCACATTATATAGTATTAATCATTACAGATACTCTACTACGGAAAACCTGTACAAAAGTATTGACTTTGAGTCCTGTTTGGGATTTATTATGGTGAAAACTATTTGACCAGCACAGACAAAACTGAAGTCAATTAAAGACCATTGTCCACACAAAGAAATCTGAAAAATGATTTTAAAAACTGTTGAGAGGCAATGCCAGAAGTGTACACTCCAAAGTCTACCGGTGACTCTTAATCTAGTCTGTGCCTTTAAAAATACAGATTCTCCAGGGCATTAGTGCAGGTCTACTGAATCAGAATCACTGGGGCTGGTCCCAGGCACACGCACTGTTTAAGCTCCACATGAGATGATGATACACAGGTAGGGTTGGGAGCTACTATGAACCTTCTTTTTGTGTGGCAGAAATGCTGGCTGTTCACTAGAGTTCTGCTCCCCTTCCACAGGGGTAGTTGTAGCTGGGAAGTGACTGCCCAGCATCCCCCTTGCATGTAGTGACTTTTGACTGGGATCTGGCCAATGGAACGTGGGCAAAAATGGTGTCCACCAAGCCCACCCAGGCCTGGCAATTTAAAACTTTCTACTCACCCTCTATTTCCTCTCTTCCCCTCTCTGCCAGCAGGTGGTCGATGCCTAGGGCAGCCCTTCCCAGGCTGTTAAAATTGAGATTTTCAACTTTCTAGGGAGGGCTAGAAAGTCTCAGTAAACAAAGAGATCTTCGGCATAAGAGAACTTCAGTGTTTTACTCTGCCGGACAAATGATAAAATAGACTCAAAATGATTTTCTGGACAAGTGTTGTGACCTCCTCCAAATGTGTATTATTACCACTCCTTCCAAATAGCCTTTTTGAAGTTTGCTAACTTATGACTGCAGGGTCAACTCTCCCCACCCCTGCTGAGTGTCCCAAAGTTTCCTCTCCCCACCACTTGTCACAGAGCCCCTCCTCCCCTACTGTCTACAAGGCAACCTTAGAAGGGGTTTACCTTTTTTTTTTTTTTTTAAGTTTTGGTTTGTTTGTCTTGGGGAGTAATTAGGTTTATTTATTTATTTTTAATGGAGGTACTGGGGACTGAACCCAGGACCTTGTGCACGTTAAGCACGCGCTCTACCACTGAGCTATACCCTCCCCCCCCGCCATGTTTTACGTTGTCTTTGACAGCCTGCCCTCTCCCCTCTTTCCTTGTCATTTCAGAGTCTCTTCCTTTCTCTATTTATCAGAGATAGAAAAGAAAAAGGATGTGAATGGAAGACAGTACTGAGATAATCAGGGGTTGAGGGTTAGGGGGTCCATCTGTTTCTTCCAATCCTGAGATAAGGCAGAAATCCTCCTGCTATGTGAGCACAGTACTTACAGTCACCCAGAGTTGGAAACCCGAGTATGAATCCGGAAGAGACATAGGATTTTGCTAACCAGGAGTCCCATGGTCTGACTGTGTTGAGTCTCAGCAGTGGGCAGCCTGTTGATGCCATCTCTCCAGTTAATTCAGGTGTTGTTACAGTAGATCCCACAGTGGTGCTCTTGCTGGTTGTTTAAACAGGGAGCAGGCTCAGTGTGGTTGGGCTGGGGGTAGCAGGGAGCAGGGCAAGCACTTGTCTCCCTAGTAGAATAATCAGTATAACGTAATTGAGAGACTGTTTCTTGGAGGCTTCTTGTGGGACAGAAGTGTCTCCCAGCTCTACTAAAGTCTGCTCCAGTCCAAGCTGACCTCTGGGGAGGATGCCCAAATGTCCCACTGAGTGACTGAGGTAAGGGGATGGAATGAAGTATTTCCTTTACAAAGACCCCGGTTAAACCAAACTTTGTTGTCTCCACTACTTTATGTGGTTCTTTTGCTAACAACGTCTCAAAATTTCAGCTCCTCCATTTCAAGTGTGTGCGAGTGTGTGTGTGTGTGTGTGTGCGCGCGCGCGCGCGCACACACACACACACACACACAGAAAAGGAAAGAGAGATATCACTACGGTGGCTGTGAAAATAGCTGAGCCAGGATGAAAAACCAAGAAGCTTCGGCTTCTAGACTATTCCATTTCCATTTTTGTTTTAAGTAATGTAAAGCTACTGAATTTGAGGCCAGCCTAGTATGATGAAATCTATTCCATTTTTTATGAGTCTGAGCACTCATTTCCCTGGATTTGTTCAGGAAGCTGCATCCCTTTCCTATCTTACTTAGGGAAAGCCATTTCCTTCAAAGTGAAGTTCCTTTCTGGACAAGGAACTTACCTCAGGTTGCATCTTCCTTCCTGTTTCCCAGACAAAAGCAAACAGAGAGCCAGTAATGGTCCCAATAAGGCAGCCTGTGGAGAGTATTGACCATTACAGTGCCAATCAGTGGGAAGGCAGCTGCAGGACCCAAAGAGGATCAGGCTGCTCTAAACCTGTGCTCCATGCTACGCACGGTGGTGTGGATGGAAATCACTGCAGGACAGCGGGAGTTCCTTGAAAATATCCCTGGCCATCTGTGGGATATACTTACCACCGACAGATGCATACGGAAATCACCGCAGGGTAATTTCTGGCCTTAAGCAGGTATTGAGTGCTGGGGTTCGGTAACATGCTCAAGATTGCACAGCTGATGAGTGGAGGAGCTGGGACTGGAACCCAAGTGGGCCCAACTCCAGAGCCCTCAGCATGCACTTGAAACCCACTGAAAATCCACTGAAGAGAAACGCACCTGGAAATATTAATGGAATCCACAGGATCTGTTTTCTTAGCTTTTAATGGCATCAAAGAAACTTTCAGGTTCAGGATTTTTTTCCTCTGTATTATAAATATACACACTTTGCATGAAATACAGCTCTTCAAGTAGAGTAAATGGACTTACTGCTTTCCTTGACCTACTACTGAAAAATACATTCTCCAGCTAATACTCAGCCTGAAAACAGTCAAACTACACTTACTTTTCATCACTTTTTAAAGATCTAATGGGCTAGACTTGTTCTCCCTTAATACATATTGTTAGCAATAGGCAATTTTCTAGACTCCAGAGAGCATTTATTTGCCTCTCTCCTGTGCTAAGACATTCAGTAGTAGTAAATTAGGTCTTGAAAGAGGCCCATTCATTCTTTGGTGCCATTGGTGTGCACCAGCAGAAATACTTAGTGGGCTGAAATAATGTACAGGCATCCTGAGCACCTACCCTAAGCAGCTCAGTGTCAAAACACAGACTTTGCTGGCACAACACTTCCAAAGAATTGTGCATTTGGAAAGGTTTTTATGATTATTTATCTTTCATCCTGGTGAAGGTCAGCAGACATTTTCCGGCTTAAAGAAAAAGTAGGAGTGGGGGAGTGGGGATTGGAGGGAGGCCACAGTCGCACAAGGTTATGGAGAAGCCAGATGCCAGGGATGGAGAATTCTAGCAATATTCTCGAGGGTTCCCGGAGATGGCGACTTCAAGAGCAGAAGGGTGTTTGAATCCAGACCCAGACCAAGGCTTTCCAGCCTGGGGTGAGCCCAGGTGAGGACCAACCAACGTGGTGGGGAAGGGGCGGGCAGGCTTCCGCAGGGGCGGGTGCTCCGCGGGGGCGGAGTTACCAGGGCTAGGTTCGGGATGAGATTTGGAAAGAAGTGACGAGACCCGAAAACCGACTTTGGTAGAGCTGGGCTGAGTGGGGCTCAT